ATATATATATATATATATATATATATATATATATATATATATATATATATATATATATATTTATATATATAAAAGATTAAGAAACAAAAAAAAATTTGATAGAAATCTTAAAAATTGGATTAGATATGAGTCAGAAAAGATAATAGAGAATTCCAAAGGAAACAAGACACAAGATCAATTTTTTATTTGAAAAACAAGAAATTAATACCTGGTAGTACTTGTAGGTGAGAGAAAGAGGTGAAACCAACTAGAAAAGGTCTAACTAAAATTTAAATTAGAGAAAAAAAGACATCAGCTCAAGAATCATAAAAAAAACATCACAAAAGGGAAAAAAAAAAAAAACCCAGCCAGCCTAAAAATGGTAGTAAGAAGTGTGATGATATGGTGAAAATTTAGTGAGGTCTCAGCATGGTCTAAACCACATAAAAGAAAATCAGCACAAACTAGGGTAAGAGACAAGACACAAATCAAAGAGTAAAGCACAGTGACAAGAGTTGTCTGGACAACTAGCAAAGTTAACTATTTAAGTAAGAGAATAATATTTTAGACTTTAGGGTCAGTGGTATTAAGAGAGCTATTAAGAGTGATGATTAGTCACACACAAAAAAAAATGTTGGCTGATGGACAGACACAATTGAAGATAAAAAGAATCAATTTGATTAGAAATATCAAAATAATTAAAGATTTAAATAAAAAGATTTTGCAGTCAAGTCTGCAGAGAATTCAAGCCATATAGATGAACTGATAACCAAGTATGTGACAGACCAGCATGTGACGAAGTCTTTGTTAATCAAAAAATAATAGTCACCAATTCTGAGATACAACAATAAAACAATGAATTTCGAAAAAGGTTAAACTCAATGGATAAAAAGTTACTTCAAGTAACATAAATACTCATAGAAGATTTGAACATTTCAATGGTAAAAATTAAAGATTACAATTCAGATGATCTTTCCAAGGCCCGGAATTTTGGGATTTATATATTTATTAAATGAATCCAGTTTACATCATATTGTTACATGCATAGAAGAAAAACATGTTAAGTTAACATGTTAATTAATATTAAGAAATTATGTTAGAAATAATAGAATAATGTTTTATGTGCTTTGAAATGCGATTTAAGAAATTTCAAATAGTTTTTATTTCTATTTGAATTTTTGATAACACTGACTCATGTCTAACTTGTTGCATTTGTGATTGTCTTTCTTTAATAACACAATCAAGTTCCTATTCAATACTTAAAGGATTACTTACCAACTCAGGTAATATTTTAGGTTCCTCAATCATATTCAGCATATCAGACTCAACTGATACTCTTACTAGAGTAGGATTGGAACCATTTAATCTTTCCAGCAATTCTACCAAAAGTTTCTGACATTTAATAAAGAAGGCACTGTAATTATTTCTTTATTGCAGAAGTCCACTCAAATGATCAAAGGTTTGACATTCATGCATACAAACCATTAAAGCTGTACACAGCTGTACACACATTTCCTTGCTTGTGTTATTGTTAGCACCTTTTAATTTTGTATGGATAAAACTAATAGCAATATTGGCTGTAAATAGATTAGAATCTTGGTGACAAATGCTTTAACCATTGCTTTAATGGGAACTTAAGTTGTAATAACCTCTGATAAATATTGTCACTTCATCATGTGACAGAACTATAGAATTATCTTGGACCGGATAAATATCAATTAATGATTTTGCATACAATTTTTTACTTATATTTTTGTAAGATATTGTTCTTGGTAGGTGATCGTCTAAATATTAGTATCAATTTGCGCACTTTATTGATGACTGGCCCATAATGAAACTCATTTAGTTCAATTTTCTTACATTTTCATGATTGTAGCCCAGTAAATCTTATTTAATTTCTTTATTCTCTGATGAATCATTGTCAGAAAATTAATTTTCAAATTCAAGCTGATTTGCATCCAATTTTTTCTTTTTGTAAAGAACATCAATTATAGCAAGTTATGTGTTGTGGGCAAAACATAATTGTTGATTTGCAGCCAGCAACCTTCCAACTTTTTTCATAACACAAGCTTTCTCGGTCATTATAGCCACAATGTTGCTGTGTAGATCAAGAACAATTTAAAGACCATAGTCTTTAATTTTTTTTTCTAAAAGTTTTTTTTTTTTTTTTTCTTTTTACTTCACCTCCTTAAGGCCAAGAAGGCCACTACAGATGAGGAGGCTACTTGTGGTTATAACCCTCTCCTAACTCTATAACTACAAACCACAAACCTTGACGAACAAGGCCGCTGCGTGGAGAAACAAGTTGAGCGCGGTGCTACCAGGGACGTGGTGGGAATCGAACTCGGAACCTCTCACTTATAAAACAAGTGCTCTACCACTTCACCACTACCGCATAGTTCAATGCACAATCTTGCTGGTATTGAACCTGTTATTTGTACTAAACCTAAACTTTAGAAGTGAAAATTTCATCCATGAACATTAGTATTCATATAGAATAATAATGTTCAGTGTTCAGTAT